TTAGTTTAGTCTGGTTTAGTCCTGGTTTAGTTCCTGTTTTAGTCCTTTAGTCCTGGTTTAGTCCTGGTTAGTTCTGGTTTAGTCTGGTTTAGTCCTGTTTAGTTGGTTTAGTCCTGGTTTAGTCCTGGTTCAGTCCTGGTTTAGTTCTGGTTTAGTTCTGGTTTAGTCCTGGTTTAAGTCCTGGTTTAGTCTGGTTTAGTCCTGGTTTAGTCCTGGTTAGTCCTGGTTAGTCCTGGTTTAGTCCTGGTTTAGTCCTGGTTTAGTCCTGGTTTAGTCCTGGTTTAGTTTCCTGGTTTAGTTCTGGTTTAGTTCCTGGTTTAGTCCTGGTTTTAGTCCTGGTTTAGTCCTGGTTTAGTCCTGGTTTAGTCCTGGTTTAGTCCTGGTTCCTGGTTTAGTCCTGGTTTAGTCCTGGTTTAGTAGTCTGGTTTAGTCCTGGTTTAGGTTCTGGTTTAGTCCTGGTTTAGTCCTGGTTTAGTCCTGGTTTAGTCCTGGTTTAGTTCCTGGTTTAGTCCTGGTTTAGTCCTGGTTTAGTTCTGGTTTAGTTTAGTCCTGGTTTAGTCCTGTTTAGTCCTGGTTTAGTCCTGGTTTAGTCCTGGTTTAGTCTGGTTTAGTTCTGGTTTTCTGGTTTAGTCTGGTTTAGTCCTGGTTTAGTCCTGGTTTAGTCCTGGTTTAGTTCTGGTTTAGTCCTGGTTTAGTCTGGTTAGTCTGGTTTAGTCCTGGTTTAGTCCTGGTTTAGTCCTGGTTTAGTCCTGGTTTAGTCCTGGTTTAGTCCTGGTTTTAGTCCTGGTTTAGTCTGGTTTAGTCCTGGTTAGTCCTGGTTTAGTCCTGGTTTAGTCTGGTTTAGTCCTGTTTTTCCTGGTTTAGTCCTGGTTTAGTCCTGGTTTAGTCCTGGTTTAGTCTGGTTTAGTTCTGGTTTAGTTCTGGTTTAGTCCTGGTTTGGTTTAGTCCTGGTTTAGTTCAGTCTGGTTTAGTCCTGTTTAGTTCCTGGTTTAGTCCTGTTTAGTCCTGGTTTAGTCTGGTTTAGTCCTGGTTAGTCCTGGTTTAGTCCTAGTGGTTTAGTTCTGGTCCTTTTAGTCCTGGGTTTAGTCCTGGTTTAGTCCTGGTTTAGACCTGGTTTAGGTCCTGGTTTAGTCCTGGTTTAGTCCTGGTTTAGTCCTGGTTTAGTCCTGGTTTAGTTCTGGTTTAGTCCTTTAGTCCTGGTTTAGTCCTTTAGACCTGGTTAGTTGGTTTAGTCCTGGTTTAGTCCTGGTTTAGTTCTGGTTTAGTTTTGGTTTAGTCTGGTTTAGTCTGGTTTAGTCCTGGTTTAGTCCTGGTTTAGTCCTGGTTTCCTGGTTTCCTCTGGTTTAGTCCTGGTTTAGTCCTGGTTTAGTCCTGGTTTAGTCCTGGTTTAGTCCTGGTTTAGTCCTGGTTTAGTCCTGGTTTAGTCCTGGTTTTCTGGTTTAGTCCTGGTTTAGTCCTGGTTTAGTCCTGGTTTAGTCCTGGTTTAGTCCTGGTTTAGTCCTGGTTTAGTTCTGTTTAGTTCCTGGTTTAGTCCTGGTTTAGTCCTGGTTTAGTTCTGGTCTGTTGTTCACATGAGGACGTCGCTTGAGTCTGAAACAGAAACAGAAGAAGAAATGAGACTAAATCAATATTTCAAAGTAAAATCCTGCTCATGAGTCAGACTCTTACTGTGGAGGAGCCAAAACTTTTATTTTGAAATCCACCAGACTCCGACACACGACCCCCCCTGAAAAACACACAACTACATCACACTCTGCTCTTCATCCTCCTCCTCCTCCTCCTCCTCTTCTTCTTCTTCTTCTTCTTCTGGTCTCATACTCACTTTGTGGGAGATTCAAAATTGGGCATGTTTCCTTTTGAGTTTCGTCTCTTCAGAGCCTCAGGAGGGACACATGGACACACAGACCTGTGCACACAATCACACATGTGAAACACACACACACACAGACAGGGACAGTGACAGGTGCAGTGTACATGTCCACGGGGGGGGGGGGGGGGGGGGTGTTACTCACTGTGTGCAGGAGTTTTCTTCTCTCGTGTTCATGTTGAGTCTGAGGACGACACACACACACACACACACACAGACACACACACACACACACACACACACACACACACACACACACACACAGACACACACACACACACACACACACACACACAGACACACACACACACACACACACACACACACAGACACACACACACACACACACACACACACACACACACACACACACACACACACAGACACACACACCACACAGACACACACACACACACACACACACAGAGGTTTGAGTTTTAGTGTTTCCCAAACTGTGGTTGGCGTCCCTCAGGTGAGTCACAGGAGTGTGTGTGTGTGTTTGTTTATTTGTGTGTGTGATGTACAGTTCTGACACATGAGGGCGCCGTTGAGGCAGTGAACATGTGATCGTGTGTGTGTGTGTGTGTGTGTGTGTGTGTGTGTGTGTGTATACACACACACACATACACAACACACACACACACACACACACATGTACATTATAAACAAGAGAAAAACACTTTGGGAAGAAGAAAAACTTGACTCTTCGTCTGTTCGTGACGTTTCAAACATGTTGTTTCCTTCTGCACATTGACCACGAAACTTAACAAATGTTTATATATAGCAAAATAAATTAAATATTATGTATACAAAATGTATGTTTGTACTGTTCTATGTTCTGTCCAAATCCGGCTCCTGCTCACTGCACTTCAGTCCTGCAACAAACGGCACCGCTGCACATCTGTTTATTATATTATATTATTTAAATATATTTATATGTATTAATATATTTATATGTATTTAAATATATTTGTGTGTAATTTCCATAACGTGTGTATATTTATCTTCTTATATTAGTTTGGTTTGTACAATAAGTTTGTTACATCTGTATGTTGCTCTGTTTATCACACTCACTTATACTCGTGAACACTGAGCCGCACTGAGCCGCACTGAGCCGCACCGAGCCGCACTGAGCCGCACCGAGCCGCACCGAGCCGCACCGAGCCGCACTGAGCCGCACCGAGCCGCACTGAGCCGCACTGAGCCGCCCGTGTGTTTCTAAACTCACTGAAACAGTTTGATCCAAAAATCATCTTCACTTTGTTCAGATGAAAATCACAGGTGCAGAGTTTCTCCTGAACCACGTGTCCTCAGGTTCTATTCCCCAAACTCAGGTCATAATCTTACTTGGTTTTGTAGCTCAGGTCCCAGGTCCTCGTGTCCTCTGTCCTCGTGTCCTCGGTCCTCTGTCCTGGATCAGTTCTGTGAGAAAGAAATGAACAAAGACAAAATCGGTTAAAACACGTGGGCAGAAGGGGCGGGACAACAGGAGCCTCGACCAATCACCGCACAGTATCCAACATCAGAGGAACTCCTGAAACATGAAACAGCTTTCACTGAACCACAGGAGAGAGAGGGGGGGCGCTCGTCATAAATGTTTCAGTTTCACATTAATTACTGTGACTCCTCCAAACGACAGGGACTGTGTGTGCTCCTGCTGCACCAACAGCAGGGGGCGCAACACCAACATGTGTTAAACAGAAACTACATCGACTTTTTAGCGACATGAACACACACAATATACACACACACACACACACACTATACACACACTACACACACTACACACACTATACACACACACTATACACACACTATATACACACACTATATACACACACTATACACACACTATACACACACTATACACACACTACACACACTATACACACACACTATACACACACTGTACACACACATATACACACACTATACACACACTATACACACACATACACACACTATATACACACACTATACACACACTATACACACACACTATATACACACACTATACACACTATACACACACTATACACACACTATACACACACTATACACACACACATACACACACACTATACACACACTATATACACACACTATACACACACACTATACACACACACACACACACACACTATACACACACTATACACACACTACACACACACACACTATACACACACTACACACACACTATACACACACTATACACACACACTACACACACACACACACACACACTATACACACACTATACACACACACTATACACACACACACTATACACACACTATACACACACACTATACACACACACACACACACACACACACACACACTATACACACACTATACACACACTACACACACACACACACACACTACACACACACATATACACACTATACACACACACTCACACACGTGTCCAGATCAGTGAAGCAGTAACAGTGTGAGTCTGCTTCATGAGCTGGTTTCACTTGGTGGAAACCGTGTGACCTGCAGCATTAGGATTCATTCACTCGACAGGAGGCGGGACTTTTTTTTATTGAATCAGTCGCTGCTGTTTGGTCGTGACGTTTGTAAAGCTCCAAATCCCACAGGAAGAAGAACAAGAACGACTTTCCCCGAGCCACAACCACCACCTGATTCTGATTCTGAGCAGAGCTGGAGACAAAGTAAACGGAGGGAGACACCAGGGGGCGCCAGACTGGATAAAGAACATCTGCAGTGAAACTGAAGAAAACATAAAAACACCGAGTAGAAACAACGTTTAAACAGCAGAAATGTCAAGTGTCAAATATTAAAAGAACAAAAAGAAAAAAAAACATTTTACTGAAAAATGTGTTTTTATTAGAACAAGACACTTTACCACAGGAACACAGGAGAGGTCAGGGTCAGGGGTCAGAGGTCAGGGTCAGGGGTCAGAGGAGGTCCGGGGGTCAGATGGGGTCATAGGTCAGAGGTCAGAGGTCAGAGGGGTCAGATGGGTATAGGTCAGTCATGAGGTCAGGGGTCAGATGGGGTCAGGTCAGAGGTCATAGGTCAGATGAGGTCAGATGGGGTCATAGGTCAGATGGGGTCAGAGGTCGGTCATAGGTCAGATGAGGGGTCAGATGGGGTCATAGGTCAGATGAGGAAGCCGTTGAAGAGGCTGAAGTTGCGCTGGTCGTCGTAGAGGCGGTAGGAGGCGGGCAGACGCAGGGAGGCGGAGTCTCCTCGCTCCAGCCTCAGGACGGCGCTGTTGCACGTGCCGCCGTAGCCGCCGTGCGCGTTCAGGGCCAGGCTGAAGCTGATTGGTCGATCGTTGTGATGTAACAACACGCCCATGTAACCTTTGAGGAAGTCCACGGCGCAGAACGAGAAGAAGTACAGACCCGGGACCGGAGCCACGAACAGACCTGAGACCAGAACCACAACCGGGTCAGAACCGGGACTGAACCGGGACTGAACCAGGTCTGGCCCGGGTCTGAGCTCAGTACCTGTGCTCGGGTCGTAGGCCGACCCTTCGTTGGTCAGGACTTTGCTGAACTTCAGAATCGTCTCCGAGTCGAAAGGTCCAACGGCTCCAGAGTCTGAGAGTCCAACCGAGAACCCGACCTGCTGGACACCTGCAGGACGACAGGAGACACACCTGACACACACACGGGCACCTGACACACACACGGGCACCTGACACACACGAGAGGACACCTGACACACACACGGGCACCTGACACACACGAGAGGACACCTGACACACACGAGAGGACACCTGACACACACGAGAGGACACCTGACACACACACGGGCACCTGACACACACACCTGACACACACGAGAGGACACCTGACACACACACGGGCACCTGACACACACACGGGCACCTGACACACACGAGAGGACACCTGACACACACGAGAGGACACCTGACACACACACTGACACACGAGGGACACCTGACACACACGAGAGGACACTGACACACACACACGAGAGGACACCTGACACACACGACACACACGAGGACACCTGACACACACGGGCACCTGACACACCTGACACACACGAGGACACCTGACACACACGAGAGGACCTGACACACACGAGAGGACACCTGACACACACGAGAGGACACCTGACACACACAGGGGCACCTGACACACACGAGAGGACACCTGACACACACGAGAGGACACCTGACACACACGGGACACCTGACACACACACCTGACACACACGAGAGGACACCTGACACACACGAGAGGACCTGACACACACGGGAGGGACCTGACACACACACGGGCACCTGACACACACACTGACACACACAGACACACTGACACACTGACACACACGAGAGGACACCTGACACACACACACGGGGAGAGGACACCTGACACACACGAGAGGACACCTGACACACACACACCTGACCACACACGAGAGACCTGACACACGAGAGGACACCTGACACACACGAGAGGACACCTGACACACACACGGGCACCTGACACACACGAGAGGACACCTGACACACACGAGAGGACACCTGACACACACGAGGCACCTGACACACACGAGGACACCTGACACACGAGAGGACACCTGACACACACGAGGACACCTGACACACACGAGGCACCTGACACACACGAAGAGACACCTGACACACACTGAGGACACCTGACACACACGAGGACCTGACACACACACACTGACACCACACGAGAGGACACACTGACACACACGGAGGGACCTGACACACACAGGGCACCTGACACACACGGGAGGGACCTGACACACGGGGAGGGACCTGACAACACGGGAGGGACCTGACACACACGGAGAGGACACCTGACACACACGGGGAGGACCTGACACACACACGGAGGACCTGACACACACGGGACGGGGAGGGACCTGACACACACGGGGAGGGACCTGACACACACGGGAGGGACCTGACACACACGGGGAGGACCTGACACACACGGGAGGGACCTGACACACACGGGGAGGGACCTGACACACACGGAGAGGGACCTGACACACACAGGGACCTGACACACACGGGGAGGGACCTGACACACACAGGGAGGGACCTGACACACACAGGGAGGGACCTGACACACCTGTGCTGCTCAGTCCTGTGAGTTTGTTCTCGGTTGAGTTCAGTCGGAGGTTCAGGTCTGAGGAGATCAGCTCCAGACGCTCAGAGACTCCTGAAACACACACACACCTGAAACACACACACACCTGAAACACACAGGTAACACACACCTGAAACACACACACACCTGAAACACACACACACCTGAAACACACACACTGAAAACACAACACACACACACACACACACACCTGAAACACACACACACCTGAAACACACCACACACACCTGAAACACACACACACCTGAAACACACACACACCTGAAAACACACACACACACCTGAAACACACACACACACTGAACACAACACACACACACACCTGAAAACACACACACACACCTGAAACACACACACACACACACACCTGAAACACACACCTGAAACACACACACACACCTGAAACACACACACAAACACACACACACACCTGAAACACACACACACCTGAAACACACACACACCTGAAACACACACACCTGAACACACACACACACCTGAAACACACACACACCTGAAACACACACACACTGAAACACACACACACCTGAAACACACACACACCTGAACACACACACACACCTGAAACACACACACACACACACACACACACACCTGAAACACACACACACCTGAAACACACACACACCTGAAACACACACACACCTGAACACACACACACACCTGAAACACACACACACACCTGAAACACACACACACCTGAAACACACACACACACTGAAACACACACACACCTGAAACACACACACACACCTGAAACAAACACACACACACACACCTGAAACAAACACACACACACCTGAAACACACACACACCTGAAACACACACACACACATGAAACACACACACACCTGAAACACACACACACCTGAAACACACACACACCTGAACACACACACACACCTGAAAACACACACACAACACACACACACACACACACACCTGAAACACACACACACACCTGAAACACACACACACCACACACACCTGAAACACACACACACCTGAAACACACACACACCTGTCACACACCTGAACACACACACACCTGACACACACACACACACACCACACACACACACCTGAACACACACACACACACACACACACACCTGAAACACACACACACCTGAAACACACACACACACCTGAAACACACACACACACACCTGAAACACACACACAACACACACACACACCTGAAACACACACACACCTGAACACACACACACACACACACACCTGAACACACACACACTGAAACACCTGAACACACACACACACCTGAAACACACACACACCTGAAACACACACACACCTGAACACACACACACACCTGAAACACACACACACACCTGAAACACACACACACACACACACACACACCTGAACACACACACTGAAACACACACACACCTGACACCACACACACACACCTGAAACACACACACACACACCTGAAACACACAAACACACACACCTGAAACACACACACACACCTGAAACACACACCTGAAACACACACACACACCTGAACACACACACACACACACACACACCTGAAACACACACACACCTGAAACACACACACACCTGAACACCTGAAACACACACACCTGAAACACCTGAAACACACACACACCTGAACACACTGAAACACACACACACCTGAACACACACACACACCTGAACACACACACACCTGAACACAACACACACCTGAAACACACACACACCTGAAACACACACACACACCTGCACACACACACACACACCTGAAACACACACACACCTGAACACACACACACACACACACACCTGAAACACACACACACACCTGAAACACACACTGACACACACACACACACACACCTGAAACACACACACACCTGAAACACACACACACACCTGAAACACACACACACACCTGAACACACACACTGAAACACCTGAAACACACACACACCTGAAACAAACACACACACACCTGAAACACACACACACCTGAAACAACACCTGACACACAACACACCTGAACACACACACCTGAACACACACACACACACACCTGAACACACACACACCTGAACACACACACACACCTGAAACACCTGAACACACACACACCTGAAACACACACACACCTGAAACACACACACACCTGAAAACACACACACACCTGAAACACACACACACTGAAAAACACACACCTGAAACACACACACACACCTGAAACACACACACACCTGAAACACACACACCTGAAACACACACACACACACCTGAACACACACACACACACCTGAAACACACACACACACACACACCTGAACACACACACACACACACCTGAAACACACACACACACCTGAAACACACACACACACCTGAACACACACACACACCTGAAACACACACACACCTGAAACACACACACACACACCTGAAACACACACACACACACACACCTGAAACACACACACACCTGAAACACACACACACACACACACCTGAAACACAACACACACACACACCTGAACACACCTGAAACACACACACACCTGAAAACACACACACACCTGAAAACACACACACACACCTGAAACACACACACTGAAACAAAACACACACACTGAAACACCTGAACACACACACACCTGAAACACACACACCTGAAACACACACACACCTGAAACACACACACACACACCTGAAACACCTGAAACACACACACACACACCTGAAACACACACACACACCTGAAACACACACACACCTGAAACACACACACACCTGAAACACACAACACCTGAAACACACACACACACACACCTGAAACACACACACCTGAAACACACACACACTGAAACACCTGAACACCTGAAACACACACACCTGAAACACCTGAAAACACACACACCTGAAACACACACACACCTGAAACACACACACCTGAAACACACACACCTGAAACACCTGAAACACCTCCTGTGTGTGTACTGGTGTGTGTGTGTGTGTGTGTGTGTGTGTGTGTGTGTGTACAGGTGTGTGTGTGTGTGTGTGTGTGTGTACAGTGTGTGTGTGTGTGTGTGTGTGTGTGTGTGTACAGTGTGTGTGTGTGTACAGTGTGTGTGTGTGTGTGTGTGTGTGTGTGTGTGTGTACAGTGTGTGTGTGTGTGTGTGTACAGGTGTGTGTGTGTGTGTGTGTGTGTACAGGTGTGTGTGTGTGTGTGTGTGTGTGTGTGTGTACAGGTGTGTGTGTGTTGTACCTGAGATGTTCTCCTGGACCTGGGTTCTGGTTCTGTTGACCTTCAGGTCCAGGTCTGACGTTTCTCGGAGCAGATCCTGGACCAGACTCAGACCTCGGTCCAGTTTTTGGTCCAGACCTGAACCACAGACAGACTCAGGTCAGAGGTCAAACAGACTCAGGTCAGAGGTCAAACAGACTCAGGTCAGAGGTCAAGAACAACGAGAACAACGAGAACATTGAGAACAGATGGAGAACGGATGGAGAACCTGACGCAACGCAGAAAGACGAGTAACAGTAGCAGTAGTAGTAGTAGTAGTAGTAGTAGCAGTAGTAGTAGTAGTAGTAGTAGTAGTAGTAGTATTTGGTGTGTACTTTTAGTGGAGCGCTGGAGCTGCTGCACGTCGTCCTCAGACGAGTTGAACTTCTCACTCACGTCTGAAACACAAACTCAGATTTAAACTTTTTTCAGATTTCACCGTTTCATCTTTGAGAGTTTGACCTGAGGAGAGTCTGAGGAGCTTCTGAAGGACCAGCCCGACCTCCTGCTCCACGCCTGAAGACCACAGAGGAACCGCCAGAGGAACCGCCAGAGGAACCGCCAGAGGAACCGCCAGAGGAACCACCAGAGGAACCACCAGAGGAACCGCCAGAGGAACCACCAGAGGAACCACCAGAGGAACCGCCAGAGGAACCACCAGAGGAACCACCAGAGGAACCGCAAGAAGAACATGCACAAACATCAGACTTTTATCATGTGACTGGCCACGTCTACGTGAGGTTTTTTAATTCTGTATTAATTGTTCTGAATTCAAACATTCTCCTTGGAGTTTACGTGGAAATAATAAATCTGAATTGAGGTTTAGAGTCGGAGAAGGAAGGAAGAAGACAAAAGCTCAGCAAACTCCCACATCCGCTCACAAATCCAAAGAGACATGGATCAAAGTCCCGAGACAGAACCAAGACCAGGACCAGGACCAGGACCAGGACCAGGACCAGGACCAGGACCAGGAGGACGACACGAGGAGCCTGAAGCACCAGCAGCATTTGAACAACAACAAACCACAAACAGGATCCAGGAAACAAACTCAGTCACATTTAACATCACAACAAAACAAACTCTTACTTCACTGTTGAGATTCAATCACAATCAACTTTTTCATTTAATTATTTTTATTCAGAATTAAATCTCTCATGATGTCATGATGATGTCATGATGATGTCATGATGATGTCATGATGATGTCATGATGATGTCATGATGATGTAAATGTACCTTCTGTTTTGTGCTGGAGTTTGATCAGAGCGTCTTCTGTGTCCTCCAGCTTCAGGCTCAGAGCTGAAACAGAGACAGAGAGATGGAGGTGATGGTGGAGGTGGAGGTGGAGGTGATGGTGGAGGTGATGGTGGAGGTGGAGGTGGGTGGGGAGTGGGGGGTGGGGAGGGGCCGAGGGAGCAGACTGTCAGCCTCTCTTCTGTCCGTCTGCCCCGGGGCAGCTGTGGCCACACCACAGTCTGAGCCAAGAACAACAAACCAAACGTGGCTTTAAACAGGACGAGTTTCTGGAGCTTCCCCTCATCCGCCTCCACATTCCTCCATGCATGTTTGAGTAATCTAGAGATCTCTCCTGGGCTCTGTTCAAACCCTCCTTATGGTTACTGCAGTACGAGTCTGTACGAGGCTCCGCCCCCCCTCCTCCAGGCTCCCACATGACAAATCTTCACAAACACAAAAACACGACACAAAACTGAACACAGCGACTGGACAAAGCTGATGTTTGTGCAGGAGTTTGTTGTGTGTTGTGTTAATGCTCTGAAGGGGGAGCGACTTAGCGCAGGGAGCAAAGGGAGGAGGAGTCAGACTCTGTAAGAATAAGACCACACCTCCTGTCGAAGCCTCATCTGAGTCTGAGCTCAGAGTCTGAGCAGGACGTGGATGAAGACGCCCAGAAAATCAGGAGCCACAGGAGGCGCCACAGACTGTAGTTGTGTCCTTGGGCAAGACACTTCACACAGTGTGAAAGGTTAAAGCCCCACAGACGTAAATGTTTGTTGAAGTGTGTTTGAGGTGGAGATGTTACCGGAGCCGAGCTGCTCAGACGAGTCGAGTCTGGAGAGAACGAGTCTGAGCTGAGCTGAAGACCCAGAAAGAAGAAAGAAGAAAGACGAGAGAAGAAAGAAGAGAAGAGAAGAGGAGAGGAGAGAG